TATAATTAATTATTGAGTTAAAAAGTGCACAGAATTTTGTACTCACAATCATATTATTTTATTAATTTTAATTTTATTTGAATTTTTTCGGATGTTATTTTTAAATGATCCCTTTTCCGAAGATCATCAGTAAAATAAACAAATATTACGCCCGGAGTTCGGACGTACAGATACGTTCGGAACAATAAAATCACGTCACGTGGAGGTGATAGAAAAATTAAAAAAAAATTATTCTGCGTTATTCAAGTATTATTGTGATGATATTCATGTATTATTGTATTCTGAGAATATTTTTAGTGTTATAATAAGACAATAACACATCAATACCACCACAATAACACATGATTAACGCAGAATAACAAGGGAGGAATATTCCCTTATGTTACCGGGTCGGATCACAAGAAAACGAGTTTTTTATTTTTATTTTTTTTTTATTTTTATTTTTTTATCAACTCCACGTAGAGGCGATTCATTGGACTTTGGACTTATCTCTACGTCATTTTTTCAGTAAAATCGAAATGATATACTCAATTTAAATAGAGATAATAGTAACTGTAAGAGAATAAAGATATACAAAGGAGGATAAATAAGTAATTTTATTTAAAACTATAAAGTTTATTTTATTTAAAACTATAAAATTTATTTTAGAAAAATATCTATAAAATTTTATTTTAGATCATACAACAACAACATTCTAATAGATTTGATTGTTAAAACACCCTCTCAAAATAAAAATAAAAATAAAAATGAAAAATCTAAAAATAATCATAAATTATAGTAAAATAATTGTCATAGCATCCTTTGAAATACATTATGAAAAGTTGCTCCAAACATGCCATGTGACAACGGGTTGGTGGTCATACAAACTAACATATATTAGACAATGTGTAGCAATATATGTGCATGCCAACCAATGTGCGTCATGCAAAGCTCACAAGAGTAAATCTATGTGAAACCATCACCATGCATGTGTGGTTCTTAGCTAGCGATTAAAATCTCTTGTACACTTAAATGCAAGAAAATATAAGTTAGCATAGATATGAGGGCATAAGAGTATGGATGATAGGGATAATAGAGAGATTTGTACACATACCACTCAATGCCTCAATGCCTATGCATTTACATACTTAACATCCATAGTTTGATATTTACATTTATAACAATATTTTGGTGTGATAAATATATACACAAAAAGATATATTTTATTTTAAAAAAGTTAAGAAGAGTGGTATTTGTTATGTGATGTTAAAGATTCAAGTGTTGCGGAAGAAAATAGGTAAGTTTTGTGTGTTAGTAAATATTTAAGAATTGTGTTGTGTGTATGAAGATTCAAAGTTTGTAAAGTTTATGTATAAGAATTATAATTCTTAGTCATAATAGTAGTAGTAGATGTACTCAACATGTCAACCATAACTATAAAATCACTTGAGAAACGTGACATGATGATGTGATGGAATGATATATGCTAGTTAGATATAATTTTTATACATAATAAATTATAATGATTCGCTCATTCTTGTTTAGCATATGTATTTGTTAGCATCCAAACCATTGCATAGATATATAAATAGAGTTCTAAGAATAAAATAAATAAGTAAATGAAGTTGATGCAAGCTAATTAATTAATATTTTTGTGATTTTGGGACATATCACCTACATCCACACCGGAAGCACTTATTTCATATGAAATTCAATATCTATTATTTATCAGCTTAATAAGAGAGAATTTTATGAATATGGCACACTCAAATAATATCGTCATTCATTTACTCTAAAGGGCTAATTAAGAGAATTTTCTATGATAAAAATCTAATATAACCCATTCCCTATTACTTTATTAGGAACTACTCCAAAAGCTATTTAAATTAAGCAAATTTATAAGGTATATACATAACATATATAAACTCAATCCTTTTTCAAGATTAAAGATAAAACATAAAAAAGTTAAAGCAAGATACTGATGGAAAAAACTTGGATGAAATGACTTGAGAAAAAAATTTTAATAGATATATATTGTATTCTTTGTATTCAATATATATATAAACTTTGTATATATATATATTTATAAGGTAAAGCATATAAGTATTCTTTGACACCCAACTTTTCTTTGAGACACTCAAAATTAGTCCCAACTTTTTGCAAGGAAATCCCAAAATTTAGATAAAAATTCCTCTTACCAAGCCTCCCATTAAGCCAAAAATCGGATGCAACTAGCTATTAAGGAAAAGAGATATTATTAATTTTCTTGTATACATACTGTAGAGATGCTTAAAAAATGTTATGTTATTTGAAAATTTAAAGAAATATTTTTAAAACGTAAGCTTTTTATGGTAAACGAGGTGGACAATCATTCTCCAGAGCAAAATGAGGACAAATTTGCATGTTTTAGGGTCAGAATTGAAAAATGAGATGTAAACTAAGAAAGAACTATGATGAAACTATTCTATAAGAAGACAAAGAGAAGAAATACATCTCATAAAATAAGTTGATGAATTTATAATAGTACTATATAGAGCCTAAAATCCACTATAAGATAAAGCTAAAGTTAAGTATTGAGTGTACAAGAAGTGTTGAATATAATAATTAAGCTTCTAGAATTATACACAGCTTTCTTAAGAAGATTAGATAATAAAGAAAAATGCAGAAGAAATACAATAAAGAGATGGTACCCTACAAATGAAATTGAGATAAGAAGAATACAATAGACAAGAAGAAGTGAGAAAAGAGTGAGTGTGTGTAAGTGTGTGTGAGAGAGTGAGAGCTAGTGAGAGAGAGAGAGAGAGAGAGTATAGAAGAAGGATATTTATTGTACTATTTCAAAAGATGAGAAAAAAATCTTCATTATCATGTATTTACATATCCAGCTCACAATTTTTATGTACTTACATATCTCACACATAAACTTCCATATTTACATACATAAAACTGATGTTTTAAACATATGCCTGAAAAGATGTATTTCACTTTAAAAAGTGATAATAGTGTCATTTTTATGTGATATTAAAGATTTAACTAACATGTTTTTAGTTATGAAAATTTAGGTGTGAAATAGGCAAAACATGAGTATTGTGTGCTATGCATGTAAATGCCCCTAATTATAAATTACTCATGAAATATTATTCAGTGGAGACTATAGCAACACTAAAATTGACGAAGTAGAATTCAACGAACATTACTCAATGCTAACAAACATTGTCAAGGTGTAGCTCACACGAAGGAGCTATGCTTGGTGTCCCTTGCCTTGCCTAATGGCCATGATAGTGATAGATACATTCCCTTATATAGTAATTAAATAATATGATTATGTGTTATTAAAATCATCTTATTAGACAAAAATTTCAATAGTTCTATGAAATAATTTTTTTGTTGTAAGAAAGTTATGCATGGTTCAACTTATTTCAAGTGCTTGAAGATCTACGGTTTGCATCAATTCCATTTTTTATTATACAAGAACTATTATGATCCTAGCATGTACTATAATTTATGAAGAAGTGTCTGATACATTGAATTAAATTCAAAATATTCTCACTCAAAATTTTCCATTTTATTAACCATCAACCCATAATCCAAAATGCTAGACAGCATGGATAAGGATTAAATATCTCTAAAGAATGCAAAGCCCAATCATTAATACAATGTGCTCGTTAGGGCTGTCAAAACGGCTCGTTGTTTGCGAACAGCTCGTGTTCGACTCGTTAATTTCGTTTCATAAGTTAACAAGCTGAACACAAACTAAGATGTGTTCGTTCGTGTTCGGCTCCTTTTGGCTCGAAATAATACTCTTAAAATTTATATATATATATAT